TGCCATGAAGAAATCCACCTGGTATGTAACCGCACAGTTGTTGTAAACCACCTTACTGTGAATGGTTAGGTATACCTCTAACCCCTGGGAGCAATTTAACTTTACAAGGCAGGGGGCAGTGTGTGTGTGAATATATCCATTCCTCATCACAACACAGGAAAGTAGAGATGCACGTGGAAAAGGGACTGACTTCTCACTGGACCAAGTTACCCACTCTCCCACCTCCATGGAGTCCTCCAGAAAGCTCACAGAAATTTTAGAATTTTTGAGCTTCCCAAAGGAGGTTCCTGAGATGTGCCCTCACCCCTCACTCCTCCTCACAGCTCTGCATTCTACTCTAGACTCTCACTAAAATGGGATGAGATTTTTATGCCACAGTGGAGAAGAGAGAAGCACCACTTATCTTCTTATGCCTGGAGAAGGGCCAATGGTGATGGCAGTTATCTGTCCACAGTGAAGCCACGGGGTCCTTCCCAGCTGCAACGGGGTGGGTAACAGCATATCCCCGACAGGGATGAATGAACCTAGCAGCCAACGTGACCACAGACCCACAGAGAGGGGCAATTTCAGATCCTGGAAAAACATCTCACATGCAAACAGTAGTTGACATGGGTCTCCAAAATGGCCCTTTATTTCTGAATTGTTACACTGCACTGATAAGGTCACTTGGGTCACAGGCACATGGTGGAGTGTGGGAAGAAAAGTGGGTCAGAGGGTGAAAGCAGAGGACTGCGCTCAGGGATGACTGTTTCCTCATGGAGAAGAAACTCGGCCGCAGAACAGAATCCCTCTGGTCCTGCTGTGCTGGATGAAGAAGAGGAAGGGGTGGTCTGCGCAGAAACGCTGAGTTAATCTTTTGCACAGCAGCCTGCATTCAACAGCTGTGGCAGCTGCAGCTTCAGTGCCCTCCTCATTGACCTCCACAAAGGACTTGTGCACGACCTTGGACAGATATAGGCCTCTCTTCAATGACATTCCAGAAAAGTCTGCCCTGGCCTTATCGAAGGCATCAGTCATGCCCAGGCTGTGAAGGACTTCCTCCAAATCATAATTTTCCTGTAGTTTAAACCGAGGGAGGAAAACCTCCACCTCCTCTTTGTACATCTTTTCTGGGCTGGTCCACTCTATGTATTTCTCATAAGTAAGTTCCTTCTCCACCTAGAAGAGAGTTGAACAGGTCAAGACCTAGCAAGTGCTGTCACACAGGGCCACATGTGGTTATACAGATGTTCCACATTGTGAGTGGGAGCCTCGCTTTGGCCAGAGGTGGTGCTAGTGGTAACCGAGGTAACTGGGCAGAGCTCAGGGACAGCTCAGCTGGAGAGCTTGCCTAGCATCTGCAAGGTCCTTGTTCCACCTCCAACACAGACACAAACAATAAAATTAAATTAAATTTAAAAAAATAAAAATCTAACTGGGAACAGGGGAAAGCAGCTACACCAGAAACCCAATGCCCTTCCCCGCCATCACGGCCTCGTTATGGCTTAGTGCTCCTTACCGTTTTCAAGTCAATGTGCTCATCGGGCAGCATGATGATCATATTCAGCTCCTTGCTGACATAGGGAAGGACCAGAATTTTGGTGCATATTTCCCGTATATAGGTCATTTTAAAAGTAGACTTCTTAAACATCATTTGCACAGGCTTCTCCTCATTCTGTAAGGAAATGGACAACTGTTAAGTAGAAACATGACCCAGCTGGCACAGTGGACTAATTCCACAGAGGTAGTCCCTGTGGGCCCCAGGAACACTCTTGACCCAGCTTCTAGGACAGGCCATGAGGTTCCTCCTGAACCCCTGTTATGGTTAGACACCAAGTGTCCCCAGAGGCCAGTGTGTTAAAGGTTTTATCTACAGTGTGGAGCTATTGGGAGGCGGTGGAACCTTTAAAAGGCAAGGCCTAGTAGAGTTAGGTCATTGGGGCAAGTCCTTGGAGGGGACTCTGAGAACCAAGCCCTTACTCTTTCCTTCATTTCCTGACTAAGGTGACCAGTTTTGCTTGATCAACTGCTCCCACCTTTGCCATCCACCACCCCCATGCCTAAGAGCAAAGGGTCTGCCTCATCATGGATGGGAAACTTAAATTTTGAGCCCAGATGAATCTGTCCCTTTTTAAGTGGATTATCTCATTATTTGGCACACTGAGAGAATGCTGACTAACAAACGGCCCAACACCAAGGTGCCCAGACTCACACACAACACCTTTCTTGGTGACTTCACCTAGTCTTACTACTTTGAACTTAATCCACGAATTTACAGTTCTAGCCGGGACCTCTCCCCTGGTCTCCAGGCTCATGTGTTATACTGGCTGCGTGACACCCACACTTAGACTAAAAGAAAGTCCTAATGTCACACATGACTGTGGGATCCTTATATCCCCTTCCTTCTCCACCTACACCTCTGCCCATCATAGTGGGCAGTGACACCATGCATCCAGTTGTCAAAAGCCACGGTGCGTCCTTGCTCATGTCTTTCTCTTACACTCTGCATCTCACTCCTAAGCAAATTATGGTGGCTCCAATTTTAAATACAACCTAAATCTCATCTGTTGTTCTTTCTTCCACTGCCATCACCCTATCCCTGGAATACAGAGATGACCTCAGAGGGATCCCAGGGAAATGTAAGTCAGATCACACCCCTCTGACTGGACACCATTCCATGACACCCCTTCTCCTAGGAGCAAGATCTGAAGTGCTCAGTACATCCTATAATCACAACAGCTCATCTCCCATTCCTTGTCTCTCCTACCTCCTACTACTCTCCCTGGTTCTTACACTCACAGGGGTCTCTATGGAAAATCAGGGTCATTCTATCCCTCCCCTGTCCACTCATCCCTACAACCTTGAGGGTGTAGCCTTTGCCTCTTCCTGGTCTTTACACAAGTATCACCCTCTCAGTGAATGCTTCCTTGATAGACCTGACCTGCAAATGTACCCCCAACCACAGCTTCCTGTCTGCTTCCTTTGTGTCTCTGTAGCACTTACCACTGCCTAATAACTACTAATGTCTTATTTAAGATTCTGGTTTCTCCCTCAAGAAAATGTAAGTTTCATGGGGCAGACATGTTCAGCTAGTTAATACCTGGCACATAGTAGGCACTCAATTAACATCAGCTGAATAAATGAATAAACAAACTGATTAGCAGAAATAGCAAAGGGCCATCCTCAGACCATGAGAAAAAGACAGAGGACAGACACCACATCCTACCCTACAATACTGCTTAACTCATGAGTACACCACAGTTTGATACCAGCAGCTACTAAAAATTTGTTTTTAATTCCATACAACAGGCATAGCTGAGGGAGCTCCCTAGTTCTCTGGCACAGCACACCATTCTGGATCAAATGCAGTAAACCAAAGACACATCTGCTGTCACTTTCTGCCTCTGCCTTGTCGAGCCTCTGCCTCTGCCTTGTAGACCTCAGCCACAACAGTCTCCTGCCCTTGGCTCCTCAGACATATCCTTGGCCAGAACTTGGCACACTTTTTCCATAAATGGGCGGACACTAAATATATTGGCATTTGTGCTACAGACAGTTTCTCTCATAACTACTGGATTCTACTGTTGTGACACATTTAAACAAGTAAGTATGTGTGTGCACCAACAAAACTTTATCTGATAAACTTGATATGGGCTGCCTTTGGCCCAGAGGCCTCAGGGTGCTGACCCCACCTTATTCAATTTCTCTGCATTCCCCTCCAGGACCCAAGGTCTCCAATCTTATAATAGTAAAGAATCCAATCTTGGTAATTTAATGACTCACTAAATATATAATTATGTT